TTAACCCTTATGTGACTGGAAAGGTACCCGGGTACCTTTTCAGTTTTTAAATTTATTTTTCTTCTAAATATTTAGTATGTATGGTTAGTCCTTCTGTGACATCTCTAAATAGCATGTATAGTTAACAAATTTATATTTTGTATTTGAAAAGTATATAATTTATTGTACTTAAAATAGCGTTGTTAATTTTACACCTTATAAGGACGTAGTAGGTACCTGGGTACCTCTATATATTGTATTTAAATGTAGGTTTTATTGATACAAAAAAAAGTTAAATTACCATTGATAAATATTTTTACTGGACATCATTAAAATAGATACAAATATTAAGAGAACAAAAATGTTATTTTTGCATATTTAGAAAGTATTATGACATATTTAGGTTTTTTGTTAATTGCAAGTTTCGCAAAATGATTTGTTTATTGAGTGTTCATTGCAAATATGCTTTGAGCAAGTTGAACAAGCTTTTCGAGTTTTTCGTTGCTTATAACCCAATTCTCGACATACTAAGCAACTTCAACTATTTGAATACGAAGGAACAGCAAGTATCTGTTGTATTGGCCGTCCGAGAACCATTTCCATTGAATTACGAGTATATCGATTTCCTACTACTTTAGGTATGGAGGTTCGAATTCTATTGCATGCATACATAATTGATTTGCAAGATCTTTCAAAAATTTTCGGCGTCGATCAGTTGTGTTAAACCTTTGATTGTGTTCCATATATATAATATATGCAGATAAAGCAGCAATATCAATCATATTGAAAAAAAATGCAAGTGGCCAACGATTAGTTCTTCGCTTTACTATGTATTCTGCTAACATTTTATCCATTGTATCTACTCCTCCTTTTGTCTGATAATATTTTATAATTTCTAGTTTAGCGGTAGCAGCTTGCATTATGTCGGCTGTCATATGCATTGTAGATAAAAGAATAATCGATTTATTTTTGGAACATAAGAAATATTTATATCTTTTCTAAATACAAAATTTGTAGAATGTAATGCTCTGGCTTTTGATGGAAGCATTTTGGGAGGCAAGAATCTTTTGGTAGCAATTTCATAATTATAAGAATAAACCCAAAAATAGTTAAGTAGAAAGTTAAGATTTCTTTTTTGAAAAATGATTATCAACTAAAGTTTAGAGGTCAATAAAAAAATTTAACTTGACGGATAAACCTTACATTTTGTACAAATACTTTTTAACTATAGTAGGAGAGTTAAAGAAAAAAAAATCATTTTTCATTTTTTAATAATGATTTAATTCTTAATTACTAATTAATAATTATCTCAAAAACATTGAGTGATCTTTATAAAAACTTGAGCCAAATTCAGAATTAGCATCAAATTTCAATATAAAATTTATCAAAATATTAAATTACATAACTCACAACACAAAACTAGAATCGAAGCTAAAAAATTGGCTATTTAAGCTAACTCAAATTTAAAAATTACTTTTTCGACTTTAAAAAAGTAAAAAAAATTTAATAAGTTTAATTTCTTATGTCTTATGAACTTTATTCTATGTCAATTAAATTATATAATATTCATGAAAGTCAATATATTCTCCTAATAAGATATTTTAAAATAAAATAAAATACAAAACCTAGAATTTTAATAGAAAAATAGCATATTTTTGAATACGGTAGCCATTTGCGCATAGAAGATATGTCGTCGGGACAAATTTTTTTTTAAATTTTATAGTACATAAAATAAGCTTTAATTTGATATATGTTTGAAGGACGCAGTATTTCCGGAACATTTTCAAAAATTAAATTGAAAAAGTTAGTATTTGTAAAAAAGTTGTTATTTTAAATCCCCCCCAATGAGCAGGTTAAGTAATAAATTTTCAAAAAAATGATATCAAATGAAAGGTAAATATCTAAGGTTTTAGTATAAAAAAAAATTATGTTGATTTGTTGATTTTTTAAAAAGTTATAGCAGTTTTAAGACAAAAAAGTGAAAAAAATGACAAAATTTATTTTTAAAGTTGTAATTTTTTTGGATATTTCCCCCATTTGCGGGGAACGATGGAAAATTTTTCAATTTTTAAGGATAATTTCTTCAACTAGATACGATTTGTGATCTTTTGACGTATTGTTGAAAGAAATCGGTCCAGTGAGAGCTAAGAAAAAGTAGTGACAGACACTTTAACAAATTAAAGTATTTTCTACTGGTACATGCCAATTAAATATTTTTTAAATACACAAATAAATTAAAATATAATAATTTGAAATAGTTTATTATCAAATATAATAGATAATTACAATATTATTATTAATCAATCAAATTTTAAAAATACCAAAATCATATTACATTTTATTTTTAATTTAAATATAGAAAAATGTTTACTTTTTATAATGTTAAGCTTCTAAATGATTCTATACAATTGTCTGTTAAGTTTTTAGAGTGACAGCAAGAGTATTTGGATCATATTGAAAACCATAATTACTGTTACTTTTAAAAAGATTCATGACATGAGTATTAAAATTGTTTTCATCTATTTCTTGTAAATGAATATCATTATAAAAATAAATACGTCTTGTACATTCTACACCGTTTATAATACATTTTATACGTAGAACATGGTCGTTCAAAAATTCAGCAACTATTCCTTGTGCATATAAAGTTTCTGATTCATAATCATCAATTTCTCTATGATAGTCTTTTTCTCCTATTTGTATCAAAATATTTAAAGTAATATAAATTTCATTAGTAAGTTGTAATTTGGCACGCGTTGATGTTAACTTAACCATTTCAGAAACATATAATAATGAGTTTTTCATCTTTTTAAGTTCTGTGCAAAAGCTTTGATATTTTTCAACCAAATTTTCTAGACATATATTTTCATTATAGTACAAATTTATACAATTTATCATTAAAAAATTTGTTAATTTTATTAGTTGTTGTAGATCAAGAGCATAGTGAACGCACAATAACAAATGGAATTGCCATACTTTATCGTTAAAATTCTCTTCTGTAATTATTTTATCGTCCTCAAATAATGTACTTAATTTAAAATATTCAACTTCATTTTTTAAATTCCGACCAAAGATTGTAATTTGATTAGCATATTGATGCTCTGTTAATTTTTTCCACGCTGTGTTTTGCACCAAAGTATTAAATTCATTAACAGTTATGGCCGTTACTCTAAAATTAAGAGCATCATAAATAAAAAGTAAAGAAAATAAATACAATTGAAACATTTTGTAAAAATTATTTTTCATGAACAATACGATAACAGAGAGAATACGTCTTCCTTTTTTATACTAGTAAATGGTACTATTCTCTTTACTTAGATAAAAATACACAATTTTTATTTTCGGTCAAATCTAGAGTATTGGGTAAATAAAGTCTATTAAAATGTACTTAAAAAATTCGTATTTATGCAAATATAGAAAACGTGTGTTTTTATTTAACAATTAAACGTCAATGCTATTTTTAAATTATCTAGTGAATAACATTTTCAATAATAATAATAATTTTTTTACATTTAGAACTTTTTTATTATATTAAGCACCGTATTAAAACGAAATATTTTTAAGCCTCGATGCAAAGCTGAGAATATATTAATTTTACTACAATGTGTTTTTTTTTTTAATATTTATTTTTTGTGTTTATGAACGCTTAATCTCTGATCTCGCTGGACCGATTTTTATGAATTATATGACAAAAGATCACAAATCGTATCTAATCGAAGACATTATCCTCAACATTTTAAAATAAATTTCCTTTTTCCACGTAAACAGGGAAAATCCCTCAAATATAACAACTTTAAAAATTGTTAATTTTCGACATTTTTTCAATTTTTTTACCTTAAATTGCCATAACTTTTTTAAAAATGACCGAATCAATATAAATTTTTTTTTTATAGATACCCTAAGTATTTACCTATCATTTTATATGTTTTTGTAAACATTTGACCCTTTACTAGCCCACAGAAAGGGTTTCAAAATGATGACTTTTTCACAAAAAATTAACTTTTTCAACTTGACTTAAAAAACTTTAGTAAAAAAAAAAAATTATGTTGATTTGTTTATTTTTTAAAAAGTTATGGCAGTTTTAAGACAAAAAAGTGAAAAAACTGACAAAATTTACCGATTTTTNCTTCACGGTGAAAATGGCTACCGAATGCTATTATTGTGTGAAAATTCTCGATTTTATTTTTTACATTTTTAACTTTATAATGCTATGATATATTGAAAAGTGTATGGATCAACATTATTTTTTTATGAGAAATAATATTTTTTAATAATCTCTTTTTCATTCGACATATACTTTATCTTAATCAGGATATTAATAATGAACTAACAGATCATGTAGCTTTTGGAATAATCCACCAATTTTTTAAAATTAAACTCTATCTAAAGA